GGTTAAAACTAATTGCAACGTAAGTTGCAACATTAAAAGTTGCAACATATTAATTACAGTTCCCATCTTTAGCTGTAGCTGTAGCTGTAGCAACAAATAGCTATATAAACTTCAGATTTAATTTACACAAGATGCATTACCGAAATCAGCCACAAATACATAGATTGATAAAGATCTGTATAATTAATTATACAAATTGAGCGAAAAACTGAATAAATACAGAATAGATTGTTAAATACATATCACATCAAAATCATATCTTCTCTAAAGACTTTTTTGTAGATGCTGAAAGTCTATTCTTGAATATTATACTAATTGAATAATAATTATTATTCTAAAAGAATGATAAAATAATGATAATACATAGTTCTAAAAAAATGATTTTGATAAAATAATATATTTTTTTATTAGAATGATTTTTTTATCTTTTCTTTAAATCTTTTATCTATTTAAATGATAAAAATAATTAAACTAATAAAATTGAATTAAGTTAAATAATTAAGAATTTTTGATTTAAATCAACTTGATTTAACTTATATGATTTATAATTCATTTAAAAATATCTAACTATATATCAAAATAATTTTTATTTAAACATATATTTATTTGAATATGAAGTAAATTATGTTTAATTAGTCTAATATCTAATAATCTAACTATAGTAATTAGAGAATATTTATATCATTATTGATTATATAAATTTTATTAATTAAAACACAAATATGCAAAAAGTTTTAACATAATCCTCTTACTAAAGATCATTACTAAAATTGTAAAAGTTTATAGGGATTTGCTAGAAAAATAAGACTCTATGCATTTTTTATTGCATTTTAATTTTTAATAATATAATTAAAATGCAATAAAAATTAAAATTTTAATAAAAAATACTTAGAATTTTATTTTTCTAGCAAACTTCCTATATAATAAATTTTAAAATAATATTCTCAATTAATATTTTTGAATTACTTATATTTATTATAAAAGACTTTTATATTCTGAAAAATCATTTAGATATTTTATAATTCATTAATTATTTATTTCTTATAATAATATATATTTAATATTTTACTTTCATTTAGCCTTAATATTAATCATAATATTAAAAATTTTTAGAGAAATATAGATTGATAAAATAATTATATAATATATATTATTAATAATTAGACTTGTTAATTAATATTAATATAGATAATTAATGATAAATCATCATAATTTAATCTAAATAATAAATATTAAATAAAACATTTATTGCATTTATTTATATTAGATTTTTTGTAATTAATTATAATTTTTTATCAAAATAATTATAAAAGTTATGATAATATTTAAAATAAAATTCCTTTTATTAATCAATTACAACTTATTCTAAGATTGATTATTTGTTTAATTTTATCAGTAAATGCTATAGCTATATATTATTTATTAAAAGATTGATGCTTAGGATATAAATTATATAAATTATCTCTTAAAATACTTATATTCATGAATAAATCAAGATAATAAAATAAAATTATAATATTACTTTATCTGTTAATCTAATATAATTTAAAATAATAATAAAACTCCTATTATAATATAATAATAAGATCTTTTTATAGCTTTCAAATTTGGATAATTATCATTATTATAATCTCATGTATTCATATATGTGACTTTTAATTTAACTTAATTGGATTTAATATTATTTTATATAATTAAATTTTAAGAAAAATTCCAATTAAAAAAAATTAATTCTAAAGTAATCAAAAAAATTCAATTTTTAAAATAGGAATTGCTTTTGTAATACTTTCTTTATTTAATTTACAATTAATAATCAAATGCAATTATCACTTCTAGTAATATAATATTAATGTTAATATTATTAGCATTTCTATTTAAATAACTTTACTTCTAAATGAAGTTATATTAGTCAATTTTTTATTATAGTTCTTATTCTACTTATTAATATATAATCTTAATTTTTTAATATTTTTCAAATCAGCTAATTCTGTTTAAGGTATATATTGTTATAGTTAATTGTTTAAAGTTGCTTAAATATTAAAAGCATGATAAGGTAAGTAAAAGGTATAAGTTTTATAAGAAAATTATAGATTGAGTCAAAAGGATTAATTGTTTAAATTATCTAATCAAAAAGTATTCAAACTATTATTTTCTGACTTTTTAATACACTAATCTTAAAACTTAAAAAATATAAATAATATAATAAATATAATAACTAAGAGAGCGTGATCTGTATTTTGATCACCATTAGTAAACATGTGACAAAATTCTTTATTTGATATCATTTAATAAACAATATCAGTCAGTCACTAGACTAGTTGCATGTCAATAATAGCAAATGACATAGATATAGATGTCAATCATTTGATCGACAAAATTTATATGATTTTATGCCTTTTTTTTACTTCATGATATGTAAATTGTATTATATTTCTAACCAAATTGAACAGTTATTATATCAAAATATTCATTGACTTCTCACGAAAATTTTATAAACTTTTAAAAGTGAACGATTCAGCCAGTTTAAGAAAATCTTGTTGGAAAAATCATCTATTATTTGATATATTTATTATATGAATAATCAAAACTTTTTAAAACTCATTTTTTATGTTTATCAACTATTTTTATACAAAAAATTACATAATTTTTGGAATAAAAACACACTTTAAGTACAAATATAAAATATTTAAAATATTACAAACAAATAAATTTGCAATTATTCAACTAATTATTTAGTTATAAAACCACTTAAAAATATATTTAGAAATATTATTTAATTATTTCCTATAGTAAATAAAATTTACTTGAATATTTACCTATTCCACCTTAATAAAACTTGTTTCTTTTGCTAAATTATAACATATATTATTAGTTAAATGTTATCTAATAAACATTTTTAAATTAAAAAAATCAAATTTTTTTTAATTTTTTTACTAAAAAATCAATTTTTGCATTTTATACAAAAACTATTTGAATAATTACCTTTACAATCTAAGAAATTATTTTTCCTCATGTAAAATTATATTTATTTTAACTGTCAAAATCATACTTTCTTTTCAACTTTAAGAAGATCTTAAAAAAATGTAGCTTTTTAAGACGAAACTTCTTGTAATTGCAAAAAAAAAAAAATTTTTTTAAAGTGGTGAATTATTAAAATAAATGAATAGAACTTATGACATTCTATCAATGAGGCAAATTTTTCAATTACTGTTACACAAACAAACTTAATTATAAAATTGATCTGCATGCGACATGTCCGACGCTTGTTATGCTAAAAAATGTTTACTTAATTAAAAAAGATATTATTTAATATCCCTAATAAATAAGCGAATTTTAAAACCTTTATTTCGCTTAATAATTATTATATTACTTTTTTTATAGCATTAAAATAATGAAAATATTTTCACTAAAACGATATAAGATAGTAATAATCGTACTTTTTTATAATATACAAATAGTAGTTAGTTATTATTATTATGATTATTATTTTTCATTAGTTTGATTTTCCAGGTTCTTTTTTCTTTCGTCTGCTGTACTAAATATTTTCATTATAAAATTTTGTTTTTCTGCATCAAGATTTTTTGTAAGAAGATTATACGAAGTTGGATAATGCTGTTGGACACCTATAAAATCAAAAGTTTTTAAAATAGGGGAGAGAGAATATCTCAATAATTTTGATTTAACAGATACTTACCAACAAATACTTCATGAAACCTAATATATACGTCAATTTTATCTAATGGTGTTTCAAATAATACTTCCTCCTCCAATTCATCTTCATCTTCGTCTTCATCATAATCAGCTTCATTACGTGCATGTCTTGCAGCCTATAACCATTTAAAAAATAATCAACTAAAATTTAAAAGAATATTTTGTAAATTAATTTACCTCTCGTGTCAAAAATTCCAAATATTCTGTATCTTCATCTAAAACATCATCATCTTTGAATATAATAAATCAAATTAGGAATAATCTTAAACATAAAAACAGATAAAGCATTTCATTTCTCACCATCATCTGCATCATTATTATTATTATCTTTATGTTGTTCAGATTCTCCTTCATCGTCGTCGTCGTCGTCGTCGTCGTCATCGTCATCACTATCATTCTCAAATGTTTTTTCCATTTCATTTCGAACTAATAGATAATAGGTTAATCTCAATATGTTTGGAATATAATGTTTTATAGAAACTTACTTTCTTCGGCTTTTGGTAGAGTGCTAAAAGTTGTCAAAATTACTTCTAAAACTTGAGGCCATCCAGTTTGTAAAATAGGTGGTAATCGTTCAATAGGTGTTTCCATTAAAGAACATAAAGTTACAATTACTAATTTCTTATCATGAACACGTGAAAATTTGTTGATATTTTCAAACCATATACTGAAGAACGCTTGAGTTAAATTACGTTCTTCAAGGATATGAAGAGTCAAAAGTGGATTATAATATATACAGTTTACCACCTGAAAAGCATCAAAAAATTAGTTATATGTTTAAGAAAAAAACAGCCGGAATAGCTTTGCAACTTACAGTTTCAATACAATAAAATTTGAAACTTGACGAAGATATGTTATTTATATTGGATAGGTATACAAAGATCAATTCAATAAATGACCCTACATACTTAAAAATTAGAAAGGTATAAATTTTAGATCGAAACGAATTTATATAATTATTCGGGATCAGATTCAATAACATACCTGATCTATAACTCCGCGACAATTTAATAAAACAGATTCAATAAGTTTACAGCCACAAGTACGCTCGCTCTCGGTTAGCCTATCACTTGTCATGACCTACAAAGTATCATATATTCATGAATTTTATTACAAGCTAGTTTGCGTGAATGATCACATGAACTTACTGTTTCAATAATATCACAAACCATCCTTTGCAATGTAGGACTCTGAATAAACGTTAGTGTTCCATACGATATATAATTATCCAAGGATGGAAACATTTCTAATTAAAAATATGTAAATGCACGTTTAACTTGGATAATAATATTTTAAAAATATATATTATTATGTTCTAATACCTTCAATGTAATCTATGCCTGTATCCTTGAAAGTTTTATACATTAATTCAAAAACTCTCCACATTGTTGGAGAAATCTGTTTTATTGAGTAAGTACAGGTGTCGATAATATCAAAAATATCATCATACAAATCTGAAATATTAAAAATAATAGATATTAACTAAAACAACGATCATTGCACATAAACCTTTTAAGATAATTACTACATATCTACAAATCGTCTCACCTGTAATTGTATTCTCGAGCGTATATGTTATAACAGGTAATAACGCATTTTCCAATTGAGCCAGAAGATCTGGCGTACTCTCCAAACTCAAAAGTACAGTGGTAATGGTCTTGAGAACACCGGAAGCAGCCATTGCCTTATCACTAATATCTAGTTCAGAATCTAAAAGTTTTCCATCATCAAGAATAGCTTCTGACTCCTGATAATCGTGCATAATACGCAGGAAAGTATTTCTCTATATATAAATATGAGAATCAATGTTATTATTTTATATATGAATATTGATTACTTAAATTTATAACAATACCAGCTGTTCGGTAAGTTGAATAGCAAATGGTGTTAATTCTTCCGAGAATACTTCAACGAATTCTTCCATAACGCTTGAAAGAGTATCAGCATCGATCTGATTTGTAAGATCGAGGAGCTCTAATTAATAAAATTACAAATATTATAGGTATTGATATTATTTACATAAAATATATATATCTTTATATTATTTTATAACCTTGCATTATCATCGGAAGGTTAGGTTTAAGCGCATTTCTCACTATAATGAAAGGTTTAGCAAAATGTTTTAGTTTATATAATGCAATAGTAATCCGTTTGAATCAAGGACATACCTGTCTCGTGTCGTATCATACACTGAAGAGATAAACAAGCTTGAACCTTAACAGGAAGCTCTGTATCTCGCATGCAAGCTGTAACGCCTTGAAAAGCAGTCGCAAGGTTTGCCTCATTCTCGAAATTCAGTTCACTGAATTTTACCAGCATGTCACATGCCTAATTTTGACAAATTTAATCATTTAGAGACTAGTATTATAAAAAATTATATGCTATAATCATTTTCAATAAGCTTACTCTCGCTCTTAAATAAGGATATTGGCTCTGAAATTCGGGAAACACATAAGTGGTGAAGAAGGGTTCCATGTGTTGAGATATTCCAGATTTTTTGCGTAAAATCAGATCTGAAATACAGCCAATCATTTTTAAAGCACCGTCTTTCTGACTTGGATCTTTGGATTCAGGTTGAGCATCTCGATAAGTATTGAGCACATTATGAATAAAAGTCAAAATCTTCTTAAATATAAATTTGTGTCTGTATTTTGCTAAATCCATAAGAAAAGTTATGGTTGCAGTTACTGGAGTAGTAAAATCCTCCAGCGGATCTAATTTTTTATGAACATAATCAACAGGATCTTCAACCCATAATTCCTCGTCTTCCTTAGAAAAGCACAATTGAGGAAATATGAAATGTGATACAAGAGTTTCAGCATATGGCTTCATTATTTGCCAAGTAAGTTTATGTGTTAGGCTAAAATGAAATCAATCATTAATAATATTTCTTGATCAAAAAAATAAATAAAAAAAATTATTTACTAGTAAATTTCTGTTACTTACGCGTCCCTGTAAAAATCGGCAAAAAATAGTAATATTTTTTGACTTAACCAAACTTCTTTTTTAATCCAAAGTTCAGTTTGTTGAAGGTAAACTCGTAATATTTGAGATCCAAACTGTCGACTAAAATTTTCTGCAAATGCCACATATTTTTTTGAGGATTGTCCAAGTTGAGCTGGATTTCCATATCTTGAAAAAATCCTATTCAAATTCTGACAAGACCATCTTTTTACTCGGTACCACATAAATTTTTGTCTTTCTTCGAGATCTTCAGGTATTATTTCCGGAGGAATAGGCTTCTCAACTATATGTAACATTAGAGTAATCCATGGAACTAGAGAAGAATTGCTTTGAAGAGGATCTGCAAGCTCATACTAAAAAAAAAAATTTAAAATTATTACCCGATCAAACTGGAGTTAAAAAAATTCAAACATTTATATCCTCAATTACCTGTGTCGCTGAACTGTAAGTCTTTAAAATTATTCGCAGCATTTCAGCAGCATCTATACTATTTTCATTGCGTAATGATTGCGCCATTTGTAACGTGATTGGAAAAGTGGATTCGATTATTTCATTTAGAGGAGCTCTATTGTCGATTCCCTTCCATCTGATCGAAGAAAAGGTAAAGTGATTCAATGATTAGCCTAATAAATTTTTTAAATAAAAATAAATAGAATACTTGAGACACAAACTCACTGATATATTTTAACTACTTGTTGTAAAGCTAATAATCCAACATATACCATTTTAGCATCATTTGTGCCCAAAAGAGCGTGTATTTGAGTCATATAATCAAGCCATTTGTCTGGAAAATCATTTACCAGAACTCGATTCAAAGAATCCAAAAGTTGAACTCTAATTAAATTTTGTTAATATCAATATTCTTTTTATCAATTAAATAATCAGTAAATATTGAAATTTGATTTGTTTCATACCTCACATTGTTAGGGACTGTTGTTACCATAATATGTAATATATTTGCTTTAAATGCATCGCGATCTTGTTGATCAATTGGAGAAGATTTATAAGCTGATGCGTCTTCAAGATTCCAAGAATGTCTTATTCGATTTTTGAGATATATCGAAACTTTAAAAATCCGAAAGTTAAAAAAATAGGTGGTTATTAATAATAAGGTTTGGAAGTAGTCCCGTCTTACGTACCAGCTTGTTTTGTTCCAGTCTCAGTTTCTTCCGAACCGAGTATCTGAATAAGTATCGAAATAAAGCCTGGTGTACCTTCCACCTATTCGGAAAACAACAAAGTTTATATATTAATTTATTTAAAGAAGTCAATTCTTGAAAATGCACCTGTTTTAACCGTTCTTCGGCCTGCTTTTGCAAACTGGGATTAGAATGATACGTTGCGCTAAAGAGTTGATATACTTCACGGGTATCCATTTTTATTATTTTTTTTTTTAAAAAAAAAAGATATAAAAAGAGAGATTTTTTTCCACGAACGCGAATAACTTTTTTTTTCGATCTGATTTTGATTGGTTAATGACTGAATAGTTTATGATTATCAATCTTTTTTTATCATTTTCGGGTAAGGTATTAATATACAACTTTTACTGATTGAATTAAATAAAGTCCCAAATCCCATTTCTTTAAACCAAACTCATAAAAAATATCACCGCATTTCAGAATTTAAAGTTATTTAGACCTTTAACTTCGTTTGATAAGATGATTTAAGTGATTAAAATTTTATTTCTGTAATTAGGAATATACTTGAAAAATATTATGTAGAATTCTGATTCGGGATTTGGGATATAAGATTGTATGATTCTATAGTATAAGGTATTTAAATTGAATTAAAAGATATGTTTAGTTCTAATTCTACCATTTATAAAATTTTATTAATTTGATTTTTTTTATCATATCAAAATATATTATTTTTTTTTAAAATCTAAAACTTAATTATACTTTATTAAATTTATTATTAAATTATAAATTTCTATTAGAAAGATATTATAAACAAATTTTTTTTACCATAAAATTGCTTAAACTAATTTATTTATTACTAAAAAAATAAGATTGATTAATATAAAAAATATTATTTGATATATAAAAATACTTTTTATTATAAGGATTTTATATACAGTTGACCATATCCCCCCAAAACCAAAAATAAAAAGTGTGATTATAGTGAAAATAATTATATAGAGGGATTTTTTATAATATTATTAAGTATTGGTTTCAAAGTAATGTAATTATAAAACATAATGATTATAAAATGATTTTTATTTATATAGCATTAATAGGAACTGGTTTTTATAAAAGGTATGTTTATAATAGAAGATTTATTTATATGCGAGAAATGATTGTATTATTTATAAAAAGAATAATTCATATAAAAAGTTAAGATTATTATATAAAAATCAGTTTAAAATATTAGTAAAATGATCTTAATTAATAGATATAATCTATGATAATGTTATTTAAATTAATGATATTATTTTAAACTTCTGGTTTAACTAATCTAGATACTTTCAATTTATTTAACTAATTTTAATTATTCATTAAATTTGTTTTAATTATAAATTAAACTAGTTTTAATAATTTAAAGCTAAAGTATTTTAGTTTCAAATAACAAAATTATTAGCAATTTATAAAGTAAATTCTTTAATATTTTATTTCAATTGTAAAAAAAAAGATTATGAAATAGAAGATATAATATTTTTTAATACTAAACATTAAAAAATTACAGATGAAATTTTATTCTAAATAGATTCTAATAACTATTATAATACTTTCTTAACATGAAAACAAAAAATATTATATTTATATTACAAAGTAATATAGATTATGACGTTATGCATTCATGATGATCATGTAATATAATATTATTACCTATTTCGAATTTAAGAAATCATCAGATGTAGGAAACGACGTATTTGGGCTCTATAAGACCATCCCTTTTCGCTTTCGCCAGTAAGTTGTAAGTCACGCGAGCATCCTGGTTATATGTGTGATAAAAATAACAATTATGGATAAATATCATCATTACCAAAAGGGGATGCTAATATTTCTTTGCATCTCGTACTACTTTAGCTGTATTGTTACTAAACGCTAATGATTTTTAAAAATAATCTAGTACGACGCAAATATATTTCGGGTTTCAGAATTTGGAATAAGGACGAAATAAAGAAATAAAAGCATCGTCCGAAATATTTATATTAATCATCTCTAGAGATAGAAGGTTTATTCCTTATAAAAAGAGAAGTTACCCAAAACAAAAATTCGAACAATAAAATAATTGTGCAGCATATGCCGGTTCTTGTCGTATTATTCGGGGTTTATCTCCTACGCCTGGGCCTACCCGAATGTGATTGGATCGATTAAAAAAAAAGGTTAGAATTTCTAGAAATAATTTAATTTATTTACAATTTATATTTTGATCGACATAAATAAACTGTAAAATGTTTAAGCACTCAATTTCATTTGAGTGGTCAGAATTTTATGAATTTTCTGTAATATTTGTTGTAGCACTTTAAAAAAAAAATAATAATTCAATAACCGAGGGTATTTTCTATCAAAGTAATAACTCTTTTTTTTCCCCGTTTTTTTTTTTGATATTAACGTCCCTCCTTTGTTAATTCATTATACACTCTCAAAGAGCTCATTAATTTCTCTATTAGTATTAACACTTGACTGAAAAGATCAAGGTAAAATTTCGTTATTGTTGAAAAAACTTTTAGCAATGCTGATTATTATTTTTTTATATTTAGTATTAAACTTTCTTTTCCTTATTATGTAGTATTAATACAAATAATACGAGGAAGCAAGACTCTATTCTCCCTTCCTACACCAACTCGCTCGACAAACATAGAATATTACATAATTCTTTACAAGTTTTATGTTAATCATATATTAATATCTAAATGTCTTATTATCAAGAACCATATTATAATAATGTTTCTGCCGACCAGCCAGAATCATATCAAAGAGGATATGATGGTGGAGGACAACCGGCAAGCAATTATACTAATCCACGAGTTCAAGAAAACAATAATCCTTACTCAACACCAAATTTAAATACAAGAGGTAATTTTTTTTATTACTTTTACTTTTATTTATTATATAGAAATGTTTGATATTCAAATTGGGTTCTGACAAGATAAGTGAAAAAGTGTTCAACTGTAGAATCATTTCGTTTACTTTTAAGAGGATAGAAACCCGCAGTATAATTTTGTAACAAATGAACGGGTTGAAAGGGGGAAAAGCAATGTGAACATGACTAGTTGATGTATATTTGGTTGGTACTTTTAGGTTCGGATTCTTACATGAGCTCTTCTACGGCTGTAGGTACACCACGTGGTAGAACAGATGATAACGACAGTGCATCGATAACTTCTTCCATTTATTCTCAACCAAGTGTTACGGGAGGTGCGCCTTCAAGTAATATGCAATATTATCAAGGACAATCTTTTAATCCAATAGAGCCACGCGGTCAGTTCGTGCGTAATGAGCCGCATCTTCATCATGATGATGATCCACCTTCCCCTTCCACAAATACACAGAGTAGTGCAGTAGGACTCACAGCAGGATCTCAACAATGTTATCAGAATGAAAAAAATTATATACCGGACTATTTGGAAGAAAGTCATTATCAAGATTTTCCACCAAATTCACAAGTACAATTTGAAGTTTATGATGATTCAAATATTAACTATCAGAAAGGTGAACCGTATGATCAACATTATCAAAATCATTCCCCAAACTCACAACCGCAATTAGATGTTTATAATGATTTTAATAACATTAATAATAACTATCAGAAGGATGAACCGTACGATAGTCGTTATCAAGATTATTCAACAAATCCACAACCGCAATTAGATGTTTATAATGACTTTAATAACAACTATCAGGAGGATGAAACTTACGATGATGACGGAACACGCCATAATACACTAACAGGACATGATCCCAATTCATATGCTATGAATATTGATAATGTAATGGGCACAGGAAAGGCCCGACATTCCGCAACCGGAGATCACTTTGTAGTTACCCCTAAAAAGGGACGACGATGTGCTATCTGTTCAAGAAAAACTTGCGTGATAACTAGTTTTATCATTTTAGTGTTATTAGCAGGTGGAATGTATTTTGTATGGCCACGTATTCCTAAAATTGCAATTTTACCACCATCACCAGTGGGTAATCCAGTAATTACCTTAAATCCCGTAGCTGCAAAATTGGATATGGAATTGCAAATCGAATTTGACAATAGAGAGAATTGGTTACCCTATAAATTCAAATCATTTAATGTTGATGTAAGAGGTTTTTTTTTTTCCGAATATTTTCATTCTTTTATATTTTTAACTTAATAATATTATTGTTTTTATAGGTCTTTAATGAGGCAAGACTTAGTTCATATAACAGACCACTTACTACTAGTAGCAAAAAAGGGTTTTCAATTCCAGGAAGGGCAAAATCAATAATTTTCGTTCCTATTTCGATTGATTATAGCGGTTCACTACCAACTGATGCGATAGTTCAAGATTTTATTAGCGCATGTACTCAACCACCGGAAGGTGAAACTAGGGGAGTTTTGAATCTTAGTTTTGACTTTAAAATGTTGATATGGGGATTAGATTGGGTTCAGAAACCAATAAAACGCGTTCCATTATCAGACTTCCAATGTCCATTTGAAGTTACACGTCCATCAGCATCGGATGCACCTGCGGACCCCGTGACACCTGCTCCCGATCCTGCTACTGAGCCACCAAAACAACCCGCTGATCCCGCTGGCGAACCACCAAAACAACCCGCTGATCCCGCTGGCGAACCACCAAAACA